AACTCTAAATACTGCGCAACGGTCAAAGTCCGAGGAATCACCTTTGTAACAAATTTAACACGTTACAAGATATACAGATATCCTAAGATGTGCACAGATATCTAATTCATTCGTCTAGACTCATTATCATGTAGTCATTGAATGATTCACAGAATGAATTTAGGACACCTATATATTCAACTTACGGCTCATTCTATTCATTTTGCACTAGACAGAATTTCAAAAAATACAACAGCAGCCCTCATTCCATTACAAGTATATATATTATCTCTAATTATTTTCCATCATTGGAGACACTTCAACATTCTAGGCGCCTCTCATGATGCAAATAAAAGAAGTGCAATATCGAGGGTTAACGACGTCGAATTCACAATCGAAATAGATTGCGGTTAACAACGTGGGTGGACGCTGACAGGAACTAGAGTTGGAACTTGGACACTGACAGTACAAATTTGCTAAGTTACATTTCTAGAATATTTTATCCGACAAAACTGAAACTTGGAATTGCGTGTACCAAGTGTTTGGATAGAGGTTGGCAAGCTTTCACGTTGAGTCTGGAGGAAATATCTACTTATTCTAGAAATCATTTTATGATTACCGACATGACAATGAGGTTCGTTGGAAGGTAAAGTTTGGTTGTTTTTATCTTTGTCCATCGCTAAATGTCCAGAATCATTCGAACGGTATTGACAAGTTCCTCTTCCTTTTTTGAAATATCAACGGCTTTCATCAAAGGATAGAAATTCTGTAAAATTGTTCAACCACTGTTACATCTGGCAAGGAGCCTTTATATTATCTGGTAACAGTCTAGCATTTTCAATAAACGTCGCACATGAGTTCTCAGTCCGCTGGATTTCATGATTTCACATTGCATGATGGAGAGATTCAAATGATATGATGTCGATAAACTATGTTTTAAAGTTTTTCATACAATGGAAACTCGGAACTTATAGCATGGTGGAAATTAATCCAATGCGAAAATTTAGTCTACATGTTGTCTGAGAGTTTGCATGCGTATTTTTTTGTAACGTACAATAGGGAACTTGCATGTATTTTTTTTATTTTTTCAAAATAAAATACATAAGTCCAAAAGCCCATATTCGTATAAGAAACATCCATAAAATGATTCAATAATTTTTTATTCGAGTTTAAAAAATGCATTTTTCAAACGTTCCCAAAACGTCTGTGACGTCAAGTCACCGGAGTTTGTAATTTTCGTGTGGCGCCATCAAGCACTTCAGCTCAAGAACCGCTCCCTGTTCGACCAGCAACGAAATACGCTGTACATGTATTCTGCGCCAGAATGTCAAAAAATCCGGAGAGAGCGATAAAAATTGCTTATAAATATTGTTTTGTACCAGGATGTGGAAATACAACAATAAAAACACCCACCAAAACATTCATTTATGTGCCTCGTTCAGAAGATATTCGCGCAGTGTGGTGCCGAGCAGCGAATTATGAGGGGAATTTGAGGTTAAACAGTCATATCTGCGAAGATCATTTCAAAGTGAGTTTGTGCTACCAATAATTGTGACATACAGTTGTCAACATATTTTATCGCTTCCTGGATGAATGGCAATAATTGTTTTTTTCCATTTTGGGGATCGAGAGATTCAATCGAATGATGATGATTTTAAGAGCTTTTCCAATATGTTGACGACTGTCGAACTTTTGAAATTGGAATTGATTTGTTTTTTATTCGAAAAAATAAATAGCTGGAAGAAGATTTAGACAACTACATGGAGTGGAAAACGAGAAATTGTTTGAAGAAACTGAAAGAAGGTGCTTATCCCCGATTCTTCTCTTGCCAACTTGCTACTTCAACTACCATACAATTTTCGTCTTCGTCTGGACCTCCATCTGCACCCAGTGATAAGAAAATTGGAAACGTGATAAGTGATAAGAACCGGAAATCTCTACAACCAGGAGGAGATTCTCCTATGCAGTGTGGGAATCCTGCGTCCTCAGTATCATCTCTGGAGCCTACCCCAGGCGGATTGCCTGCGGCCATTGATTGCTCGCTATTGGAACCTAGTGATGGAGCACAGTTTTCCAATATCTCTTCAGAATCCACACATGTTAAAAAACAGCAAAATCCTGAGAGATCCCGTCTACGTCAACGTCAACGAGTCCAGCATGTAAAACGTCTTAGTGCAAGCGTTGATAGGCTTTCTATTGATCGTGCTGTACAAGCTATTTCAGTAGTGTTTGAAAAAGGGGTTCAGATGAAACCACGGTACAGAAGCGTTGCCATTGATTGTCAACTCAAGTACATCCCAGGATTATTGAAAAATGTTGAAACTTCGCCAATTAAAAGTTTCGATGAGTCGCAACTCAACTCCACAGGACCTGAAGCCGTAGACGAGAGACTTGATAAGATCTCTGGAATAAAAATGAATAGTACTGGTACGACTAGTTCATCTTCGGATTGGGTTAAAAGTCAGGTTTCAAACAACAGTAGCACACCATCTGATAGCGATCTTGCTCTCAAAATGGAGCATTTGAAAGGCTACATCTTCGAAAACGTCACAAAGCTCATCATCGAGGACAATCCGCTCGCCTCTCTCGGATTACCAAAAAACTCAATGTATGTATTAGAAGAATTTTTGTCTGTCACGAAGTGTTCTCGGAGGAATACATATTTGACTCTGAAGAAGATACGACAGAACATCCCAAACGCCATCCTCAGCTACGAATTTGGTGTTTCTGAATCTCAAATTTCAAGGACATTTCGGAGTACTCTTGGAACGATGAGGGATAAATTCCAACAGTTAATTATATGGCCGACAAGAAGCGAAATCTCTTTGAATCTTCTCATTCAATTCAGACAAAAGTATGCAAATGTACAGTCAACCATCGATTGCCTCGAAATTGAAATAGAACATCTTTCGGATGCAGTACATCAAGCAGCTACATGTTCAGATTACAAAAAATGTAACACTGCCAAGTATCTCATTTCCGTCACTCCAGACGGCTTGATCAATTTCATTTCCAAGGGATTCGGAGGGCACACTAGTGATATGGAAGTCGTGAAAAACTCAGGATACTTGTCTGTTCTCCCCACAGGGGCATCAGTGCTTGCCGATAGAGGCTTCAAACAGCTTGATACAGTGCTACGCCAGAAAAAATGCAAGCTCCTGAGACCTCCTTCTGTCCAAACAGATGAGATAATGAGTGAAGAAGATGCAATGAAGACTAAAGAAATCGCAAGTGTCAGAATTCATGTTGAAAGAGTGATCAGACGTCTAAGGGAATTTAAAATGTTGCAACCACATGTCACTCTGGATCATAATTTATTGGAAGTTATGGATGATGTTGTTATTGTTGCTGCTGCAATTGTTAACATACAGAGTAAAATCACTCGATAGCAGAGAAAAACAAACTATTTTATTACATTAATCATTCAATTACCATTTTCACTACATAATATCCTGTCGTTCAATGACGACAATAAAATAATACTCTTGTCCTCAGTGCTCCTTAACTTGATATTTTATTATATATACTATAGATTACATTCGATAATGCTGATGGAATCCAAAATATGGATTCAATTTTTCACCATCACTTTACAATTTTGTGTACAAAAAAGTCCAAAGATACATCTGGTGGATTTAGCAGAAAATTCTGTTAAAAACATCAATTAATTTCGATTTCAACTCTTCATCTATTTCATTGAAATCCAGTGTACACAAATTGTTGAACATAGATGCCGTAAGTCAAGGATGAAATTATGTGATGGTGAAGCTCTCGAATTACATTGGTACTCTGTTATTAATATTATTCAAATCCTGTTGAATGAATTTTCAACAGCTTACATACATTCTTTTGAATATTATTTCATTTTTCTCGCATATTTGGATAGATACTTAATAATAGTTGTGGAGATATTTTCACTTCCCTATAATGATTTTTACGGAGAAATTCCCAAGATTCTTTCCAACGTATTTCAACATATTTATCATGATACAACTTGGGAAACTTGGAACGATCATGTCCAAGACATGTCCAAGAAGAAATACATATCGGCGACTCCTTTGCTGCAAAAAATATTGATTTCGTCTGTAATTTTTCAAACTTCTCGAAAATGAAGACATTTCCCATGTATTTATTGATTTGGCTAGAAAAAAGTCTAAGAGAAAGTTTTACATTTTCATTTCTTCTTTTTTAGTGTTTGGAATTATTCCTAACTTTAATATTAAAGGATGCTACAGTTCTCGAAAAAATTGCTTTTCATTCGAAAATAATTTCTTTTGAAATATCGCCAAATCTAGGAAAAATCGAGTAAATTTTATAATGACCTTTTTCGTAGATCTCACACCGATCTACAAAAAATATGCAGACTAGATTTTTTTTCTTAGATTTCGGGACATTCTGGCAAAAGAAAAATTGGGAGAAACCAAATTTCCTTTTTCTCACTTCCGCAAATCTCCATTGATTTGAGTACCGAGAATAAAAATACAGTATGATTAGGAAGTTTTTCGAACTATTCGAAAAGAAAATTCCTTCTGCAAAACAAAAGGGTACGACCCAAAATTCGTCATTGAAACTTGCTCTTCGACTGTTTCTTAGAAAAATTTAATGGATGATTGATTAATTGAAACATACTTTTAAAAAAATGGACATTTTCTCGAAAAGTTAGGAAAATTTTCAACGAAATCTATATTTGTCATTTTTTGTAGCTAAAAGTTCCTCCTGATTACAATCGAAAAAAAAATTCTCTCGAAAAAAAATAACTCTCATATCTCCGTCAAAATCCCATAAATTTCAATATGACATCCTTAAAAAAAGCTCTATTTTCCTATCTCTTTTCTATTTTTCATGACCTCTGTACTGCTCGTGTCGAAGCCATCAGAGCTGGGAAAACGGCAGACACCCAGAATGACTCTGCTCGTTGTAATAGTGTTTTGGTTAGTTGCGAGTCAAAAAATTCATCTATAATAGTAACTTGATTGACTTCAGGAAATTTTGGGTTGGCTACACAAAATTTTGCCTTCTGTTTACCAGAAAAAAAGCATCTGCAGTTGCATCTGTGCTTTGAATTTTCGGTGTATCTCTCCGTTGCAGTAATAATTGGAAACAGTTTCACTTTTCGATGGACACTTGACTTCTATCACTGATGTCCTCGTTACGCCGTCAGGAGAAGCTCCGAACCATGGGTATGTTGGTGACAACAGCAAACCAGTTCTCAAAATTTTCTCATCGATGAGGTCTTCAACCGCCTCGATTACTTGACCTTCCAAGTGTCTTCCCCTTGCCATGGCAAAAGTATCGATTATTGTTGCCCCCATGATGCTTTTGAAGAGGGATCCTCCTATCGTACGACAATGAGCACTCTGATCGATAATTGATGTAGTGATACGACCGTAGCGTGTCTCATACCACAATGGAGATTCACTCTGGTCTTTAATGACGTTGGCAATGTGTTGACAGTCTTCATAAGTGTAACTATTCTTACAAAATTCATAAAAGTCCTGGCTGTTGCTCCTATCACCATCGTAGCTCCATCCCAAGTAATGCATGGAGGTTTTCTCCCATGAATCTCGTTCCTTGAAGAACTGGACAAGATGATTATCTTGTTTCTCATCAATGCCTCGCCTCAATACTTTTTCCAAAAATTCCGTGGAAGATGGCCCTATGATGCTTCCACTGGTTGAAGGCTGGGGAGTTTTATTCCCTAGACGGGTTGTCCTCTTACATTCCTGAGCGATTGCATCGAGTGTCATATATTTTGTGTTTGAGCCGACTGAAGACAATCGAGATTTTCTCCAGTAGCATTCCACTTCCGTCGGAGACTCTTCTTCTGACCTTCGATGCAACCAAGTGACGAATGCATTTGCGTGTTTACATCCCCCTGGAAAGGAGAAATATTCATAATTATCACCCCCTCCGATTTTCGAAAGACATTGATATCAATTTGATGATGTTGAATGATCGAACCTTGGCACACAGAGGAACATTTGATATGAAAATCTACTGAATTCAACTCTCCATCATTGTCCAGTATATTCGACGCTCGCATATGCATTCTTTTCATGAGGATTTGCAATAACAAATTTTTCTATAGCAAATAATAAATATTCGATTTTTATATATGATATGTATCTCCTACAGAGATTTTCTCTTCAATCTAATATCTCAGATTTTCCAATTTTTTAAAGTGGATTTTTCTGATCGAAAGAGCAATACACTGTTAGAAAATTTCTCCTGAAATTTCAAGAAAGAGAGCTTGTTATTTGTAACAATCTGTTTTCCGTGTGAAGATTCAATGTATTATGATGATGAAAATTTTTGTATATTTTGAAAATTTAGACAATATTCTTCTTCAATTTTCAGTTGAGTTTAGAGTTTTAAGATGTCACTGAAATTTCAATCATAATTTAACACCAAAATTCCAATCATGCTGAATTTCCAACCCGAATGAGGGATTTCATAAACGATTTGATCTGAAATTAAATTCAAATTAGCAACAATGGAAATTCAAATATAAATATTTCTTAATTTCCAGGAAATTTCTAACAGTGTAGTGAAAACGAACGATCCGAGCTGAACTATTACGCAAAATGTCTCACTGGAAAAAGTTATACATAAATGTCATTGTTCTATAAGATTATCACTACTGGACATTTACGAATCTTCCAAAAATGAATAGCGTATGTGATATGTAAATTTCATGTGAATTGAGTAGATGACAGATGGAGCTTAACAACTCTGTTACGAAGAAGAAAAAATGTAATTCTATGTGGACACCTAAAAGTAATTTCCAGAAGAATGAAATTCGATTCAATTCGATTAAAAAAATCATTGAATTTCAGATTTCATGAGCAATTCAAAGTCCTCATTCTCGGGGGACAGAGAGACAGACATTGCCCCATGAATTTCAATTTGCAGTTGATATATAAAAATGCAACTTGGAATTGCGCTTCATAGCAAAAAAGAAAGTTAATCCAGGGAGGTTTCCACCTGACGTTCTCTGATTTGCACTGAAATTTATAGAATAACTGGACTAAAGTTTACAGCTTCGATTGTCATTCTCCAATGAAATTTTGAGTTCTCAACAACATAAGTTCTCGATATTCCAGAGCTATTATGATGTGATAGAAATTTACAAGAGATTTACAATAAATTTAAGCCAAGAAGTTTTTCAATATACTGTACCTTTCGAAGCAGCACAGTCGTGACATTTTGCTTCTAGAATTTTCAAATTGTTTTCATCAATTATTACACTAACAGCATAACCTTTATCTCGAATTTTGTGCTCGTGACACATTTTTGCTTTCACAGTACAAATTCCATCATCGGTCCGATGGATTTGGGCCCAACCCACGGCTTCATCACCATAATTAGCCCGTGTTGCTCTAAATTAATATCATCAAAATTAATTCATATAGTCCTTATAATTTCAATTGATTAGTAAAACTTACCTGCTCGCTTTGACACCACGAGTTTCGACACTTTTGCACAAACTCAAACGCATAAAATCCTCGAGCATTTCATAATCCAGAGTTGGCAAATTGCCAGTGGACAGCTTTTCAAAACCTTTCTCCGGAACTAACTTCATTTTTTTAACTTTCTCATTTATTTTCCGAGTATTTTCCTACCACTTTGGAAAATCCAGGCGAACATAACACCCTCGATTTGTATGGGTGGAAAGTCCCGCACTTTGAGGAACCAGAATAGATGAATAGCGCTCCCAGCGGCGGCAAGGGGAACTAGAATCTGGTGAGTTGACGTCATGACCCCAAAAAAGCGTTTAAAAATTGATGCAATTTTAATCACTTATTACAAAAAAAACAGACTACTTTTCGGAAAAATTTTGTGTTCATAATGGTTTATAGACTACAGAGATTTTATCCAATGCAAAATATACGGAAACTGGGTTGCATGCAAGTTCCCTATTGAATCATTGTACGATATTCTGATGGAATTTAAAAGAGCTCATAACTAGAATGTTGGAATAGAGTCAATGGATATATGTATATATCTGCATGATACCAGATTGGCGATAGTCCAACGGTAGGTCCAGTTAAACGAAGTGAATTGTATCCGGCCTTCGCAGGCCACCGATTAGACCGCGTCGACAGACCGATATGCCCTTTCTCATCTTCTCCACTTGCGCTTTAACCAATTTTCCCATGTGAGCCAGGAAAAACGAGGATTCCGCTTCCTGCTTCCTCTTCCCTCTACACTGAGAAAAAAAATTTCCAATATCTGAAAGATATTTTCTTGAGAGAAGTAAATGATTTCTAATGGCTTAAATCTCAGAATGTGTGCACTTCACGGAACTCGAATAAATTTTCATTCGTCACTATCGTCCCGCGTTACGTCATGAATGTTTTATATATTGCAATATTGGAAGTGTATAACGAAAAAATCATGAAAACAATAAAGACTAGAAGATTGACGATTCTTTTACGCGATTTAAGTTCATTTGTGACAAAATCATACTTGCGTACAAGAATATTTTAAAGCATGATGCCTTTCTCGGATCATGTGAGTTGTGATGCCTGAGAGAATTAAGCAATTGAAGAAAATTTAATTGTCTCAAGAAAATATGTTTTAGATATTAGAAAACGACACATTTTTGATAAGTCGACACCTGTCTCATCCCTTCAATTGAATCAATGTATCCTGTGATAGAGCTGAAAGTAATTTACAACATTTAATTCATTATTCATATCATTCTATCTTTTAAATGCTGTTCCTTAATTCCTCGAGCGAATATATAATAGTATAGGATATGGTGATGGGAACTCAAAAATAAGAAGAGCAAACCGTGCATGAAAAAAAATTATAAACGATATTAATTTATGAGTGACATAGGGGCGAGTAGGGCAAAGGGAAGATATTTAATTGTCAAAAACTTGGGATCGGCACAGTGAAAGCAAATATTTTCTTCTCTACATTAAAGCTCGGTTTTTGCTCATCAATATGAAGAGAAAGTTATTTAATTTTATTCTGACAATCTCGAGTTATTGGCAATTGAAAATGTTACATTTTGCCCCACTCTCCCCTAATTATCCAAGTAACACCTGTTATATCACATCACGTGGTCTCATGTACACTCTATTTGCTACGGAGACAGCGCCTGATGTTTAATTTTATATAATTAAATAGTCATACACTTGATTATCGTTATTAAATATTCCTCCACCTAATTTTTTTCACTTGTTATATCCGAAGGATTTTTCTGGCGGGAAAATCCTGAGTTTAGAAACTGATTTATCCGTTGAATTCATTCATTGGACTCTAATGGATCAGGTATCAAGAACTCCTTGGTAAACAATAAAAATAAAGTGCGATAAAATATTTCTTATCGCGTTTTCCGACTGTTAACGACTAATTTGTTTATTCCGCACACTTACCTTGTTTTCTTCTTAGGTAATGGGACCGGAAGTTTCAGATTTTATATTCCGAAGGGATATTTGAAATGATTCAAGGGAATTTCTCGAATGTGTAACACCTTTAATTGTTTGTTTTAACCAGTTAATCCAAGTTTACAATGTCAGGGGAAATTTGAAGTTTGTTCGATTTGATTGATTTTCCGCGAATCACAAAGTTCAAATTTTACAACAATATATCACTTAAGATTTACTTACAAGTTTTCTGCTTATTGGAGATGTGATCCCTAATAGATGGAAATGTCGTCCCAGACACTTATTACAATTTCTCTCTTCAAAGTATTTTTACGTTCACAATGTTCTTTAGTATTTTTAAATTAAGGATCCGAATTATTTATAAATACACACACAGTTATACCGTAAGGCGTTTGTAGTCGCGAAAACCTTATTGGTTCGTACACGTGATTTTAAAAGCCGAAAGAGTGTATCTCTTCTTTTTATGATACTAGAGAGTGTGAAAATTCTCGTCAATTTTGATGAGGGGTTTTTGATAACTCAAATTTCTGAATTTCCAAAATCGATCAACTCTCGGTAGCGATCGTCCGCGCTCAGGAGACCACCCTCGAAATCCAGTTCACTGATTTCTGTTGGGAGCTACGACGAAAGATTGACTTTCTCCGACTTGGAACCGAAAAAACTGAATTACCGAAGATTGGAGAACGTATTTGTTCCCCGGGTTTTCCACGACTGAGTTTTCCTTTTATCGATTGTAGTTTTTAAGTTTTGAATTTAGGCATTGGCTTTAAGGGGTGGGAGTTGGTGATTTGGAGGTTTATGACGAAAATTCGACGTGGAACACCTGTTCACGTGATCGAATTTTCGCTGATTCCACTCCTTGGGTTTTGGAACTTATTGGACTTTGAGGTGGCCTGAGGCATTTAGCGCGATGTTGAAATTGCCTGTCGGCAATTTCGACATCGGTTGTGCCGAAAAGAGTTATTGGAGTGTGTTTTATGTTCATTTTCAGATTGGAGGTGGTTTAGGGGTTGTTATTTTTGAGGGTTGTTTTGGCTTGCCGGAAGTTAGGGACATTTTTCTAGGTAACGCGTCGTTTGGGCGTCACGTCGATTGTTAGTTAGTTATTATTTATTTAGCTAGCTCTTTTATCTATGGTTGGAATGTCGAAATTGTCGGTTTGTTTTCTTGCGCTGGTTGTGCAGCATTTTTGGGAATATCGTTTTTGGGTTGGAATTGTGTTTTACTATTTATTGGGGTTGGTTGAAAATTTGTAGGAGAATTTGTTGTTAACAATTGTGATTGTTATCCGATTGGATTGAGTGAGGGCTTGGATTGTTTGGTTTCGTTGTCCGGTCGTTTTTTGTTACGGGAAGTTTTCTGTAAAACTATTATTTTGGGTTTTAGCAAAAATGTTTTGTTAGGGAAAAATTGGACCCCTGCTAAAGTTATTTGTTAATAACTTTTGCAGTGTTCGGAATTTCTTTTTGGGTGATGGGTCAAAAGTTTCGTCGTTGTGGGGCGGAACTTTTGACGTATTTGTATGGTGCGGGGATTTTGATTTTATAATTTGGTTTGGGGGCAATTTATTTATTTCGTGTAGGGTAGTGGGGGTGGGTTTCGTGGTGGTCCAAACGGGGTGTATGAGCGCTCGAAGTTTTTGTTTCATCCGGGGGAACAATTTTGGTCCTCTGTACTTAATTGTTTGGCCCTTAGTTTAATTTATATTGATATTTTTCTGTAATCTAAATCTTGTACGCCGTTGGTTATTTTGGGTTTTTGGTTATTTTGGAGTTGGGGGAGGATTTTAGGCTGGAAATAATTTGGAGATAGCACACTTAAATTTTGAATTTAATCATGATAAATTTAATTGAAAAGCAAGATACATGTACATAGCAAATAAGTTGTGATACCTGTCATCTCTTACGCAATGAAAATAAAAAACAGATTCAATGATGAATACAAATACTTACATGTTTGTGTCATCTGCTCTCAAGTTATCGAGCATTTTGTTTTTACTGTAATTAATTGAACTTGATGTCATCCCGATTGAAAGATTATATAAACGATTGGCGTATGATTGATAATTGATTTCACCTGTGACTAACCGGAAATTGAATGGTCGAAGGGTTTGATTGCTCCATCTATCTTGGTCAAACTTCAGACTTCCGTTTTCGATTTGCAATTCACGATTTTCTTCCAGTGTCGCGAGTGTTCGAATATTATCAGTGATGTTTATTTCTATTTACTGCCACATTAAAAAATGGTGTTAACGATTATTTCATTTTGTCAATTAACTTTATTCGAAAAATCATTACGATTTATTAAGTTAATTCACTGGATAACTATGAAGATTCAAAATAAATGAATGTCCTTTTGTCTATCAGATGAAAAAGCATTTATTAATCAAAAATTTATTTACACAAACTGAAAGAAATATGAAACTTGCAGCTGTTACTCAATGCATGAAAATAGAATGTAAAACAAATGAAAAATCTTTGAGCAACTGAGACTATTAGTTTTTGAGATATAGGAATAATTGCGAAAAAAAACTATTCTGTTCTTGAAAATTTGTGATCTTTAGAAAGAGTTCCGGAAAATCAAATATCTTAGATTGGACTATCCAACAAAAATTTTGTAATGCGTGAAAATAAAAAAAGTAAGTATTTTCTCATCAAAGAACATTATATTTCCCATTTATCAAAGTTCCATTAAGTAATTTCATAGCCAGATTATCATGTTAATACTGAAATTGCAGTAACTTGATTTGTTAACTCAATTCGCTGGTTAACCGTGAACATTCAAAATAAACAACTGTCCTTTTGTCTATCAGATGAAAGAACATCTAGTAATCAAAAATTCATTCATACAAACTGAAGGGAGTATGGAAGTTTCTGCAGTTATTCAATGTATAGAAATGAAGTGTAAAATAAATGAAAAATCGTTGATCAAATGAGATTATTCATACCAATAATTGCAAAAAAAAATCTGGTCTCTTCTTGAAAATTTGTGATCTTAGAAAGAGTTCCAAAAAAATCAAATATCTTGGATTGGACTATCCAACAAAAATTTTATAATTTGTGAAAAAAACAACAGTAATTTCTCGTCAAAAAACATCATGTTTTTTGTTTGTTACAGTTCCATTGAGTAATTTTATAGCCAAATTATCATGTGAATACTGAAACTGGAATAACTTAAATGATTT